CCCCCCCCCCCCCCCTCCCCTCCTCCTTCGCGAAGTATTTATTGCTACTCTATGAAATCGAGAAGAGAGGATTCTAATATTTACTCTTAAGAAATAGAGTGGAGGGTTTCGTATCGTTGTCCCTAGCCCCACCACGTAACCACGTACCCCACAATACAAGCTGTACATTCTCGCGAACGCTAACCTCCCCCCCTGCTAGCGAGGTCAACGATTTGACGACTACAGCATCACCTTCACGACTATCCGCCCCCCTCCCCCTCCAGCGCGAACGCACCTGTCTCGTCACGAACCGAAAAACGCTCCTGCGGTACCCCTCCGCCCTCGGCGCCGGCCTGAGCAGCCTAAGCAGGTCGTCCACCCTGCGGTCGATCGCCAGCGGCTGCTTGTTGCTCGGCAGGATGTCCATCGGCAGGGCGATCTCCTCAATGTCCGACAGACCCCCTCCGCCGACTCCGCCAGCGGGCACCATCGCGGTGCTACCGCTACCGCCGCCGCCCGAGGCATCAGGACCGGTGGAGAGGGCAACGGTACCGGCACTGTCATTGTTGCCTCCGCCGCCGCCGCCGCCGAACACTGCCGCCAGGGAGGACGGCCAGCGGGGGGCGTTCGGCGGTGCGCCAAGTGGGGGGGGGGGTGGGCTGGACAGGCCGAACATGGAGCGGGAGATCTCCTGTTGCGGGAGCAGAGGGTCCACATGGGGGCCGGGAACAGGTTTACATCAGAGGCATCTACCGAAGAGCAGGTCATTAAGCATGTATTTTTTGGGAGAGGCAAGGGGTTGGGCGAAGAGGAGGGTTTGAGGGAACACTTGACGCGCAAACAGGCAGCACAAAAACCTACTTGGCCTCATGAACCCCCAACGACGAGAGAAGAAACGGCGCGGGGTGCAACCGGGGCAGCCTCATCGTACGCCTGCTCAAACGAAAGGGGCCGGAGGGGCAACCTTCATTCTACGCCACCCAGAGACGAAACAAGTTTTTTTGTTTTTATAATGTCACCATACCCATAAATATTCCACGGCGAAGGTCCTCTTAATAGGTACATATCGCCACGCTGAGCTTCCAAGGATATAGAACCCGTTGGATACCTTCACAAAAAAAACAACAACAGAGCCAACAACCAACGCCGACGAAGACTCGCCTTGACCGTCCCGGAGCCAGGGGTGTTCCCGTCCTGCCCCTCTGCCATCATCCTCTCCTCCGGGTCTCCCATCAGCGAACCCCCCTTCTGAAGTCTCTCCCACACCTTGGAAGGCATCGACCCCTCGGGAACGGGGATGGTGATCGGCACGGCGGCGTTCCGACCTCTCCTGCTGTCCCCGTCGGCGACCTCGCCGATTGCAACGTCCGGGGACGATTCTTGCGTGTCCTCTTCCCCTGGAAGCTGGCGGTTCACGAAAAAAAAAAAGAAGACGGAAGTTGGAGGCTGGTTGCATTGGGAGCTTGTGGTGTGCCGGTTGACAAATTAGGGAAATCGTAGAAAGAGAGGCAGTTTCTGTCCACGCCATGAATGTATTGCTCTCCGAGACTCTTTTCTGTAGATGGATGGATTCGTTTTGTCACTGAGAACAAAATAAGGAAAAACGAGAAAGATAACTAGAGCCAGAGAAAACAACAAAAACGTCAAGACACAAAAATGTGTTCCTTGAAGAAACGTGGGGGACACCCTGACGTGCTCGCTCTACTGTCTAACATCCATTCTTCATGGGGATTGTTAAGAGGGAAAACGACACAACAGGGTTTACCCTGGTCGAAAAGCGACACACCTGGGTACACAGTCATCAACAGCACTAAATGCACTCATGTTATTCGTCAGCGCCCAATTTCACCCCGGTGCGTCCGAAAAGGCGCAGGGTATACCCTGCCGTGACTACTTTTCTCAACAACTGTACCCTGTTTTCGGGAATGTACCCTGACCTGTCGGGCAAAAAGACCCTTTCATCAATCATTTCCCCCGCAGGAATCTTCCCAACTCCTGTTCCCCTCCAACCATGGGACACCAAACCGCGACTCTTCCCGCCCAATAACAACCATGGCAACGGGGCAGGAATCAGTTCCCGCCCCTGCGAAACGACACCAACCGTCAACTCCTCCGCTCTAAGTCAACAACGGCCGGGCAACACGTACCCTAGCACAATTGTTCCGTTTGGGAACATGCACACACGCGTACGATACCCCGTGGACGACTGCTTGCTGCAGTCTATGTGCGAGACGCACGGGTCACGCTGTGAAAGCGAGACCGATCCAGCATGGTTGACATGCCTATGCATGTGAGCGTGCGTGTGTGGTCTGTTGTGTGTTTCAATTGCGATATGCCGTGTGTGCGTGCGTGCGTGCGTTGTCTGTTGTGTCTCAATCGCGATGTGTTTCTTGCCAGAACTACTGCTGTAGCGGCAGCGGTCACGCTTACCAGCCGACCAAGCCGACCATCAAATCAATCAATGTAGTAAGAAAACGTCAGGCTTCCGCGGGATGAGCCGATGAAGAAATATAACGCGAGCACTCTTTCTTCTCTTTATCGACAGGGAGGGTGATCAAGTTGCACGACACAGCAGTGTCCTGCTGCTAGAGTAAGCATAAGACTTGTGTGTGCGTGATTGATGCCAAGGGCGAGTCTGTGTGTGCTGGTCCTGCCTTTCCCCTCCACCCTCGTTGCGGGCGCGAGCTCGCCGCTGGCACAGCGCCACACACTGGCACGTGCTTTGCAGTCAACCATGCTGGATCGGTCTCGCTTTCACAGCGTGACCCGTCCGTCTCGCATTTAGGCTGCAGCAAGCAGTCGTCCACGGGGTATCGTACGCGCGTGGGCATGTTCCCAAACGGAACAATTGTGCTGGGGTACGTGTTGCCCGGCCGTTGTTGACTTAGAGCGGAGGAGTTGACGGTTGGTGTCGTTTCGCAGGGGAGGAAACTGATTCCTGCCCCGTTGCCATGTTGTTATTGGGCGGGAAGAGTCGCGGTTTGGTGTCCCATGGTTGGAGGGGAACAGGAGTTGGGAAGATTCCTGCGGGGAAAATGATTGATGAAAGGTTCTTTTTGCCCGACAGGTCAGGGTACATTCCCGAAAACAGGGTACAGTTGTTGAGAAAAGTAGTCACGTCAGGGTATACCCTGCGCCTTTTCGGACGCACCGGGGTGAAATTGGGCGCTGACCAATGATATGAGTGCATTTACTGCTGTTAATAACTGTGTACCCAGGTGTGTCGCTTTTCGACCAGGGTGTACCCTGCTGTGTCGGTTTCCCTTGTTACGACCCTCACGTACACAATATGTACTACATTAAACCAGAAAACATACCTGGGTGCTCCCTCCCGCATCGATGCTGCCCATGTAGAAGAAATCGTTCGACTCTTTTCGGTCCAGGCGCTGGATGGGACAGAGACAAGACCCCAAAGATTTTGCGAGAGGCAACACCAAGATCAGCCAGTGAGACGACACAAAAGCGAGCGACAGCAACACACGCGCACACACGTAGCTCGGTGGCTGGTCGGACAAGAAAAGCAAAGACGTTGGAGAAAAGGACAGCAAAGCAAAGCAACAAACACATACACTCCCCGGAATCGACACCCCAGCTCCCCGTTACCCCTTAGGCCAACACCCTACCATCCAAAGCTGAGAGGGCAGTATCCTGAATGAAACGTCGCCGCCGAGGCGTACGATTCGCAAGTGATCATGATTCACCAAAAAACCGTCCGGAGACCGCATTGGAACAGAAGAAAATACGACCGGTAAATAAACTTCGCGCGGCATGTACACACACAAAAAAAAAAAGCGAAAGAGCGGAACCAACTAGCAACCAACAACAAGGAGAAACAAGGGGACCAAACAAACAAACGCCTGGCGAACGACTGAAAAGCACATCAGCTGCACCCTGTACGTATCTACCAGGTAACACGGGATACACTGGTTCGTCGAGGCCGAAGCACTCAACCCACGGCTGTACCTGCTGCTGTCTGAAGGCAATCTGTGTCATGAGATCCCGCGACTCGACGCCGCCTTCTACCTTTTTCTTTGTATTGACACTTAGAAAGAACGGCACGCAGACGGGAGGGCCTACCTACCTGCATGCCGGCGTCTGGGTTGGAGGCGAGCGAGTAGGAGGAGGACGAGCGCATCATCATCTGGTGCTGGTGCTCGAGGAGCTTGTCGACGGCGTCGTCCTCGTCGTCGCTGTCCACCTTCATCGCCAGCTGATTGGCGCTCTCCACGCGCTTCACCTGTCGTTGTCGTCGTGGCAATGGCCATGGAAAATTAGTAGCGATGATGGAGGGCTTCAACGTGGCACACGCAACAGATTATCCAACAATTCTGTTCGTAGGATGCCCTGCGGCGCCGTGGCAAATGACTCGGATGCATGTCCGTTCTTGGCATTCGAGACGCAAAGCGGCCATGGATCAAGACGACCTCCGTCCCCCAAAGACTTCGTCACCCACAACCCCCCCCCAACAAACTCCAAACCGAAACATGTCCCACCTAGACGCAAAACCAACGAATCCTAAGGAGCACACCCGAACCCCAACCCAACTAAGGGGGGGTGTACTCATAGTCGTGCATGCCGTAGTCGTTAGACCATTGACCTCGCATCCCTACAAAGCCGGGACGGAGCACGCCGGGTTCTCACCGGACCAGGCTCTCACATCACCAAGCGCGAAGCGCCGTGAGATATTCGGCGAGTCGCATGAAGGGTGCGCTGCATCCTGCTAAGGGTGTTCGGCATCTTGTGCTTACTTCCTTGCGTACGGATGACAGCTGCGTATGAATTACTTTATTTTCTGGTGCGTTCACTTCCAGACACAGTTGTAAGCACTGTGTTACTGCCTCGAGGGTGCTTGACCATTTTAACACAACGTGGTGCGATCATCCCCCTTGCGCGGAGCGAGGGTTCTCCACCCCGCACAACATGATCTACTCGGCCACCATTATTGTTACCGCCAAAAAAAAAAAAACGGAGGTAAAAAAAAAAAAAAAACGGTAACCTGGTTGCCGAGTTCACGAAGTGAATTGGCTATGTTTTACAACGTCGTTGCCAAGCGACGAAAACCCAACCCCGACGGCAAACACCGGGGGGGGGGGCTTGTTTTACAACGTCGTTGCCAAGCGACAAAAACCCAACCCCGATGGCAAACACCGGGAGGGGCGGCTTGTTTTACAACGTCGTTGCCAAGCGACGAAAACCCAACCCCGATGGTAAACACCGGGGGGGAAAACTGTAAAACTCCAACACACGTTAGCGACAGGATTTTACCCAACCTCCAACCCACCCACCAGATTGTTCAAGTCCGACATGTCGATGGCCGCCGAGGGGACCGACGTCCCCCCGAACCCGGCTGCGGCCGACCCCGCCATGCCGCCGGTAGTAAAAGAGATCGAGCTCATCCGCCGCATGATCCCGGGGCCCGAACCGAGGCTGTACGCCGCCGTCTGGTCTGCGCCCCCGCTATTGTACGAGCCGCCGTACATGGTTGGCCCCGTCGACGCCCGTCTCCTCGGCGGAGCGGCGGCGGGGTCGGCGGCCGCTGCTCCTGCTGCTGCTGCTGCTGCTCCCTCTTCCGCTCCAGTTGCCGCCGCCGCTGTAGTTGTAACGCCATTATCACCGGCGGATACCGCTGCTGCCGCCTCCGCTGCTGCCGCCTCCGCTGCGGCTGCTGCTGTAGAGAGGGCTGCATTGTCTTGCTCCACCTGCTGAAGCCTGCGGCACAGGTTTTCTATCAGCTCGTTCTGGCCCTGCACCTGCATCTGAGAAAGGCTCAGCTGCTTGCGCGCGGGGGGGGGGGGGGGGGNGGGGGGAGGAGAGGAAAGGGAGAGACGTACAAGCAGCTGGTCGGGAATCGCTCGTGATACGTGGCGGTGCTGAGCGGGTGTCCACGACGACAAACGTTCACCGCCCGCCGCGGGCGACACTAGACGTGCGGCCCTGTTTGGTCGAGTTCGGTGTATTCGTGTTGAGCTCCAGGTATACTCCTACACTCCTACACTCCTACTCTGCTCTGTGTCTCTTTTCCGAGGAACGCGCCGCCCTCCTGCGGCGTGTGTGCCATTCTCCTCCTTCAAGGCCGCGTGAAGGTCACAGCAAACGAAGGTCGGGAGAGGCGAACCACACCGGCGCAACGTGTTCTATGAACACGCTTACTACAGACAAGCATGACACACAAGTTCCAAAATATGGGATGGGATTGCCGCAGAGCAGGAAGACGCCCCCCCCCCCCCCCCCCCCCCCCCCCCCCCCCCCCCCCCCNNACCCCCCCCCCCCCCCCTCCTCTCCAACCCACCTGGTGCTGGAGGTCCACGCACAGGCTGCTCATCCGGTCCATCTGGTCCAGCACTTCCCCGATCTGGGTCTGCACGCCCATCATTGAGGCGCGCTCGTCCAGGAAGCCCGTGAGCTGGGGCACGCGCCACGCCGCGCTCACGCACACCAGCTGGCGAAGATACACCTGCGGCGGCGCGGATGGCGTCAGCGAGAAGATGCTTCAAGAGCCGTGTGGGGAACAGCTTTGGCGAGAAAGTACCGATTTTGCGAACATCAAATTTTGGTATTGATTCTAGCTTGATATATTTCGTCACCCTGAGGGACTGACGTTCGAAGGAATCTCTAGGAATTTCGTCTTTCCCTTTCTTCCGGTTTCCCCCAAAGACCGCAGGAAAGATCCAATCATTCGATCTTGCTCATTTCCTTTTTTCGAGCAACAGGTTCTGAGAAACTTCGCTGACCAAGCGCCCCGTGTGATATGGATACCCCGTGGGCTTCATAAGGACTCTGCAAACGACACAAAAAACTTGGGCGTGCGCCAGGAGGAACCCGAACACGCGGCAGAAACACGAGAGAGAGTGGCAGGCGAAAGGAAATAGCAAGTATTGTTTGCACAAGTACCTGTCGCTCGTTGGACAGCACCTCACGACACACGCTCTGTGGTGATTGTAGTTCAACTTTTTCAAACACGACGACCGACACCACACACCGCTTCCGCCGCTCAGAAGGAAAAGGCTCACGCGTTGCGCAGCGCAGCATGCTACACCTCTCAGGGCCAGCCTACCTACCCGGCAAACGGAATTCAAACGAAAGCAATAGCCCGGAGTAGGGGCGCATCCACAAGGTTCCGTGACGACCTGCGTTTGCATCCACGTGATGTAAGTGAGAGTGTGATGTTGGGCGTGTGCCCAGTCTAAATGCCACAGGAGCCACGTGCCAGCAAGAGGCGTGGTGTATAGCAGTGTGTTTTGCCTCTTTCATATTCTTTGCGCACGAAAGACGGACCAACTACTGTGATGGCAAAGCGTGCCATCAATAGCGATCTCCAGTTTCATGGCTTATGGAAGAATGAGCTTCGGCGGAGCAGAGTAATCCGGCAAGTGCTGACTCACGGGCGACGCGTGAGTTCCTGGTGCATGTCTGAACGTAGTGAGTAGAACTTCTCGAGAACAAAACAAGGGTAAACGGCCACGTGCGTGACGTCCGTATATGTATGTGTGTGTTCGTCCCATCTATTCTGGCATCGATTTTCTCGCCTTTCGGCGTATAGCCTGACGTATCAGCCGGGGTCACACAAAAGGAAGGTCACGCATGATGTTCCTTCCATTTTTGTGTTGTTTTGTTTCGTTTTGCTTTGTTGCCCCGCCCTTCCCCTGCATGACTTCTTGAAAACGCCCAAAAAAGGCCAGAGAGAGGCAATCCGGTCTTCGCAAGTAATTTGAAAACAAAGTTCACATCTCGATTTCAAACCTGCTCCCGACCCCCACGACCAAAATCAAAGACTCGTCCGCAAACTCCCTACTCTTCGCGCAAGAGATCGGTCTCGCAATAGCAGGCAGTGGGTAGGGTGGCTTCAATTTGTATTTGGGCACAACTTCGTGAGTCTGAATGCTAGGATTCGGGTCTCCCGGAAGCGAACAAAACAACGCATTTTAGCAGTGGAGAGGGCCACCGGCCTCCGCTTGGGCCGCCAGAAAACGTTACCCGGTGGTCTTGGCCAATCAGCGATGGGCGTCGGGTCGATTCCCGCGTGACTTCTTTGTGTTGAATAGCAGTTTGGTGTAACCTGAAATACCCCCCCCGGTATTATACCGTTCCCTGTCGTTTGCATTCAAAGGAAACTTTGTCGTTGACCCAGGAGATAACTACAGGGGGTGCAAAATGTACCTATTATAGACAGATGCTTTTGTATATAAATGCTATGACTGGTGTAATTCAGTGGATGGGCTATAACACCCTTACAAAGTCAGCTCAGTCCCAAGTCGGTTTCCTTCCACTCACTGAAAAGATTTCAGCGCATTCCTCGACTGCTGTGGCCATGTCTCGAATGGGTAGTCTTTCTTCGATTGCATGTAACTTGCCAAAAACAGAAGAACCTGGGTTATCCCCATCTGTGCGTCGAACGTGCACCGAAAGCCTCGCACTGGCGCCGACAACGGAGCTGGAAAACGAAAGACGTATGATCGCTTCCAACGCAGATTGTACACTCTACACAAGGAGCGGCAAAGGCCACCTGTAGTTGAGGCGACTACAACAAAGAATCCTCGCGAACTGGGACAGCCACTTTGGCCGCATTCACTCCAAAGTATCCCACGCACATGACTAGCACAGGGATACCTTTCATTTCGAAATACAAGGACGTCCATCTGCGCCCGTCCCCCTCTCCCCGGGAACATGAATTGTCTTCCTGACCAGCGATCTGCGTCACCTACCGCTGCGCCGAACACAAACAGCACAACAGCCCAGACGGGACTGATGCCAACTCATCACACGGCGCGCACATACCTGGAGAGCCAGCCCCCGGGCTTCGGCGAATGATGGGTCGACGCTGCTCCCCAGGAGGCGTTTCCCGGGCAGGTGCGGCATGTCCTCCGTTTTCAGGTGCTCCGATACCGCCGTGTGCAGGGAGAGGAACTGGCGATACCTGCAGCGCGGGGCGGGGGGCGGGGGCTTGTCACCGGACCACACGCACATGCGCGCACGCGAATGTATCAGAGGAGGGGCGTGCCCTGTTTGATAGAATGAATTATTGGGTGACCATCCGGTGACCGAGCGCAGTTGGTTGAGAATGGAACTGAAAAATAGACATATCGGAAGGGCATTCTTGAAGATACGAAAAATCTACTTGCAGACAAAAGAGTGTCGGGAAAAAACGAAGGATTGATTCCGGATTCCCATGAAATCTACAGGAGCAGCAGCAGTTGGAGTTGTCCCCGATTTTTTTCCCGACCTTGGACACCGTTAGTTGTCCCGAAATCTACATTTTTAATGGCACTGGACACCCTCAATCGTTTATCTAAAGGTCTTATATATGACAACAATACAAACACAGGAAGACCACCTGTTCGAGACACAAGAGAAGTCGAAGGGTCTGCTACGGAAGTCGCCGATGATGTTTGGTTTCGAATCGAAGATGCAGGCATGTTACGCACTGCACTTGGGAGAACTACGTATATGCTTCGGAAGGAACGTGGGAGGGCTTGTCCACGTGGTACTCCCACCAACTAGAGCGAACAGTACGGGAAGAGCAGGCTAATCCATACGCGTGTGATCCGTGCTGAGCGAGGCGTTTCGCGTGGGGAGAGAGAACGTGCGGTGTGTTGTTTTGGTGAGGGTGTGGAAACGTCGGCGTAACTTCGACGTGACTGGGTTTATGAAGGCACTCTTAGTTGTGTTCGCAAAAAAGGACACACAGATGTACATCGCAGGAAGCCGACCATGCATGCAGCGGCAGCACGCTATGCTATCATTACAGCAGTTGAGAGAAGTCCCACCCATTCGTTCACGGTAACATGTAACGGGGGGGCTGCGGGACATCAATGGGTTTTGGGAGGGAACGGTGACACAAGCCTGCCTACCCATCAGGGAGGGCCGAAGGGTTGAGGGCACTGACTCCCTGCTGGGGTTGTAACGTTTGAAGGTTGGAAGGTTGGAACCCAGTTGTGTGGGGCAACCCGTGCACATATAATAGATCAATGCCTGTACTGGAACAACAACGACATAACGACAACAACACGATGATAAAAACGCGCCCACAGCAGGTACATGGCGCAAAGCCACGCACCTGCGGAGCACGAGCCAGGTGTGTAGCCCGGCGGTGACGCTGATGCGGTACGCGGCGTACTTGCCGTCGCCATCTGCCCGCAGCGTGTACCCGTCGAGGCTGATCCTAAAGTTGCGCGGCATCGAGGACTGCGCCGACCCGTACGAGGCCGCGGCCACGCCGGCGGCGCTGCCGCTGTCCCCGGTCCCTGACGACGAGTCCCTCTGACTCCGGCCCATCTCCTCCTCCTCTAGCTGTTGCGATGGCGTCGGATTGTCGCTCGTAACGTTCTCCGCTGCTGGGGCTTCGTGGTCAGGTGGGATCGGGATGGGCCGGGGCGGGATGCTTTGGCTTGTTGGTGGTGCCGCGGTAGCGGCGGCGGCTGCACCGGGGGACATCGATGACCCTAGGGCCGCCGCCAAAGCCGGAGGCGAGGGGGCTCTCATCGCGCTTTCCTGCTGGGCGGCGATCGTCGCGGGGGGAGCCTGTTCTAGATCATTCCTAGTCTTGGTGGTCATGGGGTGGAGCATCGAAAGCGCTCTGGTTGGACGTATTCCCTGCAAGAGGGACTCGCTGCTGCTGCTGCTGCTGCTGCTGCTGCTGCTGCTGCTGCTGCTGCTGCTGCTGCTGCTGCTGCTGCTGCCGCGAGTGCGAGACGCACAGGCAGAACTCGCAGGGGGTCGTGTGCTGGAGTCGTGGTGAAGATGTGGCACCCGCCACAGAGAGCAGCAGGGGGAAGGGACGAGGGTATGTCGTTGTTGACAGCTTGGACAGGCCAGATGACCGAGATGAAGAGACACGAAAATACAACCCGTGGTGCAGAAAAAAAAAATACCGCCGAGTTCGTAGAGTCGACACACGTGTTGGTTGAGTGTTGAGCGCGGTTGACGCTTCCTGGGGTCTGGCTGCTAGGAGTACCACGGCAGGGTATTGCCTCGCCCTCCTGGTGGCCTGATGCGGTTTGTCGTGGGGCGTCCAGGTGTAGAATATAGCCAAAGATTAGTTATGAATGCGTTGCCACAATGCAGATCGATATGCCACAAATCCACCTACAACTGGCTTCATATTGATGAAGATGCTGAGCAATCAAACATGCAAGACAAACAACCTGGAAGTACAAGGGACACTACTGCTGTTCATCGGACGGAAAAAATGAGAAATATACTGCAGTGATCAGTGCTGAGAAACGCACGTTGAAATTTGAAAACTCGGACTGGCTCTCTCTCGCTTTATCTCTGGATACGCTCCAGCTATGTTTTGATTGGAGCAAATGATTTGTGTCCACATGGAAAGTCTCCTACCAACCAGTGACGAATCCCTCGTCTCTTCTCCCCTTGGCCCTGCTACCCCTCTCTATCTCCCTGGCTGAGTATACTGTAGATCCTAGGTCTGACGACCGCGTGCAATACAGCAGTGGGCCAGAAAACAAGCAGAGAGGGCGGGTGGCAGCACTGCTAGTATTAGGCTAGCACGTAGAGAAGATCGAGCAACGAGCTCCGCCACCACCCGCCATCGGAGTCGGGAGGAATTGTGAGCCCACATCTCCGTCAACCTCAACAACCGTCGTCTGAGCAGAGCGCGCGGGGTCACCACTCGGTGAGCCGTGAGGCAGCAGATGGATGGTGTGGGCGTTGTTGATGATGTGCTTGAGATATTTGACAACGCTGCGCCGCACGTCGCTGTTTTTGTATTGCGGCAGGCAGCGTGAGACGGTGCTGAGCAGGCATACTTTTGCTGTAGGCACACAAAGGACATCCCATACCTCACTCAGGTGTCGATGTGGCTGGTAATTTTTTCTAGTGCAGGCGCGCTAGTCTTGGTCACTGGCGACGGATCGGTAAACATGCTGCTTTTTGCGGCAACTCTTTATGGCTGAATGCTACGCTGCGGAGGCTGCGCCGTAAGAGACGTCAGGCATTGGGATCTTTGATCCTACGCCGCTGTTGGTTCGCTGTAGATTTGCATGGTCATCTACAGAAGTAGCAGCAGTACATAGTATGTGTTCTGTACAGTAGTGCAGAAGCAAAGGGCCTACTGCCGTACAACACACAGCAGGCTACGCTTGCAGCAGTAGACAAAACAATGGTTGCCCGCTCGTCACATGGAGTCGAAACCAGAAGAAGCCCGCCTACAGACTTAGTCTGCAACTTGGATCTGCGCCCGATCATGTGGGTATCATTCGCAACCAGCAATGCCGCTACTACTGCTGTATACGCACACACCTTATGCACATGGATACACCAAAGAAATATCGTACAAACCGTGGCGGATCGAGCGCACTCACAGCAGCACTACTGCACCTACGAGCGTTTTTTCTGTAGGAATAGTCTACCATCAAATTTTCGTGAAAAACAAAGGCGACACAAGATCGCTCCGCGGTGGACCCTGCATTTACTGCATCGTCTGTGTCATGGAATTCTGGTGGACATTGGCGACGAATAAAGAAACGGAGCTGGGGCGGGTCAGTTCTAGACATACCAACAACAGCAATCAATATATTGGGACGAAGCGTAAAAGTCTACCCAAAAACATAGGTCCATCGGCTGCCGCGTGCCCTGATCTCTTCGCAGTTTCCAGCAGGTTGCTCATGTGTGGCATCTGCTCAAGGGGTCAATGTGTAGTACTGTAGCGACAGCCAAACGGTGAGGTGAAAATGTCAAATGAAGCAGCTGAAATCGACGACCTGCTTATATGTATCGCGCAAGTACGCTGTCAACCAACACAGGTATAGCAGCGCAGCCGATGTCCAGGTCCAGAACAATAAATGTTATGTATCGCAGCAGAAGGGCGCGGGAGATTCTCGTAACTGCCGATTACGGCAAGGGCTGCAACAGAGCGGAAGAAGCCTCTTGTCAGTGCCGGACGCCGTATCAGACGTGTTAGGTAGACTAACGTTTTGAGTACAGCAGTCAATTAAAAAACAACGCGACGAGAGCCAGCTCGCACTGGCTGTCGACTCGCTGTGACTCAATGACATCGTGTGTGTCCCACCGCCGTGCAATGTTCTCGGCCCAATTCCCACGCGAAGAATATTTTGCGCGGGAGATCTCGCAACGGGCCCGCCCGAGTGCTGAGCGCGAACCAGACTGCTGTGGTCTTCGCACAAAGGAACCCCAACGAGCGCGGAAACAGAAGCAGCCCAAGGGTAACAGCCGATAGCGATGCTGCCGTCCACGACCAGCCAAGCCGTTGTCGACTTTCCGTCCTCGGGGGTATCTCCCTCCGCGATGACGGCCGAAGCGATGGCACACGACGAGGACGGCTTCGTCGACCTCTACAAGGGGGCACTCGCAGTGACCCCGCCACCGTCCTCCAACGCGAGAAGCCCGCAGATGCAGTGGGGCACGGCTCTTCCGTTCGCGGGAAACGCAGGAGACGACGACCACAACGCCGCCCCCGCCCCCGACAGCGGCAGCATCGAGTTCGGCAGCTCGGGCATCAACCCATTCTCGCCCCCGCCCCCGTCCTCCGCGCCGCCGACCACCCTTCAAGCCAACAAGCAGTCCCTGCTTCCCGCCAGCAGCAGTAGTGTGGCCGTCTCTTCCGTCGCGGCGACGCCGACCCCTGTGCCGCCGCTGCCGACGGCCCGCCCGCCTTCCGCCGCCACCGCCGCCCCGCCCCGCGCGGCGAAGCCTTTTCCCGGGCCGACGAAGGCTAGGGCGAAGGGAGGTGCACGCCAACCACGACGGGTAAAGCTGCATGACGACGGCGACGACGACGACGACCCCGAGGAAGGCGCGCCGGACCACAGGGTTTGCCTGCTCGCCGTCGGTACGAAGAAGCAGCGCCTCCGTGGCGCGGACGGTACCGTTACCGTTGCCGGCGGCGGCGGAGGCGGCGGCGGCGGTGCCATGGACAGCGGCGCCTCCCTCGACGATGTGATCGGCATGCTCACGGCCGAGATCAATCGGAACGGCCGGGAGGCGGAGACGGAGCGCGTGGAGACCGGGGAGCGCGCGGTGCTGCAAGTCCGGGCCTTGGCGCGGTCTGAGTTGCGCTACGGGATCGTGCTGCTCGAGGTGGAAGGATCGCGGGCGGCGGCCATAGCGACCGCTCGGGAACTCAAGTGCGTGTGCGGGCAACGTGTTTGGTTTCTTGTAGACGCCGACCACGTTTTTTTGCCAGCTGACCGACGGGAAATACGGTAGTCTCTGCACATGGGAGCGTCGAAGATCACAACGCTTCGTTGTCCGTGAAAAAAAACGTCTTTGGTATGTCTGCCCCCTCAGCGGCAGGTGTTGGCACGTGCGTTACCCGCGCATATCTTGCATGTGTCGTCTGTCTGGACCGACTACCCGCAACAAATGATTTCGGCGGGAACGTCGCAGCAACGCCGGAATGCCTGTTCTAGGTTCAAAAGTTGCAACTAGAAATTTCACACTACGTGGAGCGCCAGGCGTTCATTGCCATCCGCCGGTTGGCTGCCTTTTGCAGTACACTGTCCGAGTATGGCCGATCAGTTTCGACCCAACTCAACGCTTGTAAACTGCAGAAAGAAGGAGCAACAACGAGTTTTTCGTCCGACGTTCGTTACTCCCCCCCCCCCCCCCCCTCCAACAGGG